TTTCTGGGGCACCTCCTTTCCTACCACACCCCAACCCCCACCCCAAGTTTGGGGCTGAAACTGACACCCACCGTAGAGGCCCCTGCCTCCAGGAGCTCCCCCTCAGCCAGGTCAAGGAGCCCTTCTAACTGGGAGAAGACGGGGAGGAGGGTGGGATACAGCCTCCGTAAACCGCAGTCCCCCACCCGCTGCCCTGCCTGGCGTGTTACCGTACCCCCTCAGTACCTGAGAGCTGGGTGTGTGTGCTGGGCTTGGGTGTGGTCAGAGGTGGCGTCTGCCTCGTGGTGGTGGTGTTTGTGACGGGGACAGTGGTGCTGGCCGGCGGGCTGGTGGCCCTGCTGGTGGCCCCTCCCGGCTCTGTGAGGCCGGTGGTGGTCCTCAGGGGACGGCTTGGAGTGAGGGGTGTCCCGGAGGTGGAGGTGGGGGCAGCCGTGGGGAGGGCAGTAGCGGCCATGGTCTCCAGGATCCAGCCCTTCAGCCTGGTGACGCGCGTGTACACGCCTGGCTTCTTGGCCTGCGCGCAGCCGATGCCCCAGCTCACGATCCCCGCCAGGTAGAACACGCCAGGGGTCTCCTCGCAGGCCAGGGGACCCCCAGAGTCACCCTGCAGGACACGGCAAGGGACAGCGGTCAGCTAGCCAGTCCAGAACCACCCTGGTTCTTCTATGTGTGGTTTAAAACAATGTAGGGGAAAAGAACCCCAAAGGGTGCAGCAGGGGGGGAGGGGTTGTCTTCATTCCCACCTGGGAGCAAGATGAAACTTTCTGCTCCTGTAAAGGACAAATGCGGTTCGATCTCACTGACATGAAATCGCCAAATATGGAGACACAAAGGGAGCTCCTTGGTGTGGACGTACTGGTTATGAGTTGGGCTGCTAACACAAGGCCAGCAGTTCGAACCCACCAGCTGCTCCTCAGGTGAAAGAGGAGGCTGCCTGCTTCAGTGAGGGGTTACCAGCTCAGAAACCCACCGGGCCCTATAGGGTCACCAGGAGGCAGAATCCACTCCATAACAGTGAAGTGGCCTCCAGGGGGCAGTGGTGGATCAGTGGTCGGACTCTGCCGGGCCGGAGGTTTGGGAGACAGAGAGGGTGTCTGCAAACCCTAGCCAGGGCCACTATGCGGGAGGCTCGGGCTCCACTGCTGGCCAGTGCCCCTCCTGCACAGCCCGTGGAGGCTGCCGGGATGCTGGACAGGTTTTAGCAGAGGCTTCGGCTCTAAGTCAGACT